CCCACCCACATGTGTTCGCTCTTATTCTCCAGGTATGCTTATAACAGCATCAGCATGCTGATGGTTCACAAAAGCCACTCCACCTGCTGGGGACTTATGAGAGCCCTGGATGGTCCATTTCACAGGCAGAGAGCAATGCGAGACTTTACTGTTATCACTAGTGTTAAATTTAACAAGTGAAGTCCAGACTGCTGAAGGGATAAACTGTAGCAGCACGTGAATTGTGCCAGGAAAGAACCCACTCTTCTTCCATCTGATCTCATCTAGGACAGTGTGAAAATGCCAAAATGACACACCGCAACACAGAGCATTTCTAAAGAAGACACCATGTTAACACTCAACATGACAAGAGACAGATGATCTAATATAAAGACAAGTTTCCACTGATTTCCCAGTGATTTCTGGGTCCTCTAACTATAAAGTTGGAATGGGCCTTTTTAGAGGTAAAGGTAAAAATGAAGTTCTTTAAATTTCCTAACACAAAGTCTACTCGTTTCTATGAATGTCCTCTAACACCCATGACCTGCGATTATCTATGTGTTCCTCACACAATGTGGGAAAGGAACGACTGTATACTAGTTACCCTACTGGAAGCTACACAGGAAATAGAACTACAACTGATGCATCTGGTAAAATTCTCTAAATGTAGAAAACAAGTAATTTTCTTCTTTAACTACGTTTCAGTAAAAACAACAAAACTACATCAAGTCCATCAAAGAAGAGAAAAAAATTTAAGTTTCTTGAAAATTGTTGTTCTTTGAAATATTTGAAGGCCATACAGTTGTACCTTGGTTCATGAACTTAATTCTTTTCATGATTCTGGTCACAAAATGAATGGAAAGAGAACCAAATCAAATTTCCCCATAAAGTCAACACTGAAGTTAACTATTGAATTTTATTTCGGTTCTCATCCAATTTGATTTGTGACTAGAATGGTGGAAAGAATGAAGTTCATGAGCTGAGGTACTACTTTAATTAGTGAGATAAACACTCTTAAAAATCAGTCAATGAGAGTTTCCATCTGTTTTCTGAAAGTGAAAAGTCTGGGGTTGGGGCCAGAGGACTTGCTTTAAAGTGAACAGTCTCAGTCCTGTGGAAACCCAGCTGGCATCTCTTTTGTTAACATGGTTCACTTAGAACTTTTGTGCAGCCATCTTCCAGCCATGATGGAGTAGCAGGAACCAAACCTAACAAGTAAAATAAAATAAAGTATATAACGCATTTTTTTCCAAACAGTGAATAAAACAGCCAAGTACTATGATCCCTAAGAGAAGGGAAGCGAGGTGAGCCACTGGCTCAGGACATAACCTGGGTAGCCACACCGAAACTATCCTAGTCTCACCAGAACGAAGATCAAAAGGACAAAATGTCAAGAATTTATGGGCAGAGCACCAGAGAGGAAGGGGCCACTCAGCGAGAGAGTCTCAAGCACCAGCAGAAGAGTCCGTGAGTCTCTGCCTAAGTACTGAGCAACTACCTGGAAAGGAGCAGGCCAAACAATTACTGAGCACTGGCAGCTTATATCCTCTCCAGGGCAAAGTTGTATAATACCACATTCATCAACTAAAGATCTCAGAAATGCTTTACATCATCACATCGAGGTACTTTTCAATTTTTATGAGAGTATTTCTCACACCCACAACAAAGTTGAAAGATCAAGAGCCACATCATCATAAATTGGAGATGGATATAAATAGATAGACAAATATCCCTATAAGCGCACACACACACACACACACAAATATACTCATAAAATAAAAGCATTGCCTGAGTAGCAAGGCCCAAGAATCTCTGGACTAAAACCCACTCTAGGCCCATCCTAGCAAAGCTTAAAATCAAAAACAAAATAAAATAATTTCAAGTAATTTATTTCTATGGAAACACAGTTCACAACAAAATTATCACTATCCAAGATCCAATTAAAAACTAACACATGAACAAAGAAGTAGGGGGAACTATAATAGAAGAAAATCATTCAACAGAACTAAGCCCACAAAAGATAAATATGAGAGAAATGACCCATAAAAAAGGCCAAATGAGACTTAGAGAGATGCAAAATACACGGAAAAACACATCTGATACAGTTAACAGATTAGCTATAACAGGAAAAATAAAATGTGTGGCAATAAAGATGTAAGATTTTTAAAAAATACTCAAGTCCAGAAAGAAAACTAGATGGAAGATGAGAATGGCATTAGTGAGATGTGGGACAAAGTCACACAGTCCAGTACAAATACAACCAAAGTGCCCCAAAAAAGGAAGTCAGAAAAATTTACAGAATTTTTTTTTTATTTTAAAGAGGGTAAAACAAAACAAAACAAAGCAGATCAGAGGAAAATAATGTAAGTGACACCCAGATATCAAAGCAAGACTACAGGAGATCAGCAGTAGCTACCGTAATGTCTCTTGGTTTATTCTAAATAGTTGTCTATATCTTCACACACAATGGATTCATACAAAACAAAATAGTGTAAAACTGATCAAAACAGAGTAATGAAGGCATTCGAAGGCCTTCAAAGCCAGACAATAGGAAAATCAACAAAGGCTACCTTAATGCAGAAATATTAAATGATATTTTACTGATAAAAAAAACCCTCTATCCTCAGATGCAAGAAGTTCAATGAAATCCAGGCAGAAGAGTTAAAGACAACTACAAAGGCAGATAGTCAAATTGCTAAAAACAAGTGAGAAAGAAAAGCCTTAGAAAGAGCTGGAGCATGGGGAGACACAAAAAAGAAACAGATTTAACATGACAACAAAATGATTATCAGAAACTATATGGGGCAGGACACAATGAAATATCTCTGAAGCATTAAAAGAGAAAAAAGTGGTTACCCTAGAATTCTAAAGAAAGAAGATGTTTCCAAGAATGCACATGAAATAAAAGCCTTTTTCAAAAAGTAAAAGCAAAAGATAATTTTTATATCAGCAGATGTACACTCAAAAAATTTTAGTGTTCTTCGGAGTTTAAAAAAAATGCCTCGTGCTGCTTACCACAGGCAGTGTTCTTACACTGATGTACAGAAAAGCGAGGAAGAGTAAACCTGCCCCATATACACGTTGTGCCTTGCCTGTATTGTAAATGGGGATACATGTGCAAAAAAAAAAAAAAAAAAAAAAAGATAGTAGATTGAAATTAGGATCTACAAAAAGAAGAGCTCAAAAAATTAAAAAAATATTTAAATAAATATATAAGCATAGAAAATTTTTCTAGCTTAATTCTACAAGATAGCTGACTCTATAAAGCAAAATTAACAATAATATAGTTTGAAGTTTATTATATACATAGCAACAAAATAAATGCAACAAAAGTGGGATGCAAGAAATGGAGGTAGACTGTTAACTCTTATACTGCATGTTGGGTTACATTAAATCATGTAATACAGAGTATGATAGTAACAGGACACATTCTAATTCTAGAGTATTCACTAAAAAAGAGAACAGCTAGTAAGCCAAAGGCATAAGTAAAATGTTGAATTAGAATTATAAAACAATTTAATCAAAAAGAAGGCAGGAAAAGGACATGGTCAAATAAACAAGAAAATGAACATCATGTATACTTCAGGGCTGGGGTTTACCTCAGCGGTATCAGCACCTGCCTGGCACGCATGAGATTGAGAGTTCAATCCGCGGTACCAAAAAAAAAAAAAGATTAAAAATAAAAAAATATGGTATATTTCAGTCCAACCATATTAATAACTATATAAAATACAAATAATCTAAATAATCCAATTTTTAAAACAGTCACATTTTATTGCTTTAAAAGCAAGAGCCAGCTGCATCTTTTTCCCTAAAAGAACCACATGTTAAATATAATGACAAAATAGGCCGAATATAAAAGAATGAAAAAACATCTGTTTTAGCAATAATAACCAAAGAAAAACTAGAGCGTTGCTGTTTAGACCCAGATGTACTGCAAAAGTCGTGTGTGTTCACAACGGGGCTTTTGAAATGGGACTGGGCCACGGAGGCACTGTACTCCTCACTGGATTAACCCACGGATGAACCCATAACTGAATGTGCTACTAGGAAGTAGGCCTGTTCAGAAGAGGCAGGTCATGGGGGTGACCTAGAAGGGCCAATGTCCATCTCCTTCTCAGGCTCCTCTCTTTACTTTCTGTCACCCGGCTGCTATGGACTGAGCATCTGTTCATTTATTATGGCCCTCTCCCATCCTTTTCCTGCTATGGAGCTGGACCATGGGCCGAAGCCGTAAGTCAAATTAAACCTTTCCTGTTTTAAGTTGTAGGTGTTGTACTATGTCCCAGAGATGATAAAATGACTAAGACAAATGACACCTTCAATATGAAACAAGTAACTTCAAACTAGTGACTGTTATCAAAACTAGAGGAGGCCAGTTTCTAAGAATAGAGGGGTAAATTCACCAAAAGGCCATAAACATTCTATATCTATGCATCTAATAAGGTTCTGAAATAGACGAAGCAAAATCTGATAGAACCAAAATGAGAAGCAGATAAATCTCCACAACAGGTAGAGACTGCAACACTCCCTGATGATTTATAAGAAAAGGAGATGGAAAATCAATAATATATAGAAGAGTTTAACAATACTATCAACAAACCTGCCTCCTCTGACATTGAAAGGACATTCCACAAAAAAAAAAAAAAAAAACAAAAAAAAACAAAAAAAAAAAACAACGCTCACGTCCACAAACATTCCTCAAAAGTGCATCATGTTCTGGGCCACAAAGCTACCCTCAACACATGAAGGAAGACTGAGATCACAGAAGAGCTGTCCTTTGACTACAAGGCATTTCAAGTGAAATCAGTATTAGAAAATGATGGGGAAAGATGCCAGATATTTGGAAATGAAACATCACATCAAACAACCTAGGCTAAAAAAGAAATTAACTGTAAAATACTGCACAGTGATAAATGATAATGCAAGCTATCAATCTGTTCAATTGTGGATGATAGCCAAAGCAGTACTTAGAAGGAATTTTTATCATTAAATGTTTATATCAGAAAAAATAGGCTCAGTTGTGCTTCTGGCGCTAAGGTCAGGAACAAGATGGTGCCACCAGTGCAGGTCTCTCCGCTCATCAAGCTCGGCCGCTACTCTGCCCTGGTTGTTGGCATCGCCTACGGAGCCAAGCGTTATAGTTACCTGAAGCCTCGGGCAGAGGAAGAAAGGCGGGTAGCCGAAGAGGAGAAGAAGAGGCAGGATGAGTTGAAACGAATCGAGAGGGAACTGGCAGAAGCCCGGGATGACAGTATACTGAAGTGAGAGGAGCCAGCAGTCTGCATCGCCCCAGCTCCAGTGGATGAATAAAGCTTCTGAGTTATGTGGTAAAAAAAAAAAAAAAAGAAAAAGAAAAAGAAAAAATAAAGTCAACTTGTGACCTAAGTGTTCACCTTGAGCTAAAAAATAAATAAATCGAAGGCAAACTAAACCAAAGGAGGCACAAAGAAATAATAAAGACCCAAAGTTAATAAAAGAGAAAAAAGAATGAAAAATCACTGATAACAAAAGTTGGTTTTCTGAAGGTTTAATTGATAAATCTCTACCTAAACCAATTAACAAAGAATAGAGAAAATACTTATCACCAATATCAGGAATAAAAACAATGCCATGACCAAAATTCCTATAAAAGTAAAAGATAATAAAGTACTATTAAAATTTTAAGCCATTAAATTCAACAAGTTAGATGACATGGTCAAATTCCTTAAAAACACAAAATCTCAACAATAAAATGCTACTCAAGAAGAAATAAATGACCTAAGCATTCCTATAACTATTTTAAAAAGTTGTAGTTAATGTTCTCACAAAGAAAGCTTCACACCCAAATGGCTTCACTGGTAAAGTCTAATAAACATTTAAAGAGACAATGCTAAAAGTAGTATAAAAATTTACCCCAAATAACAGAGGCTTCATTTGGAGCCCAACAAAGCAGAAAGACATATCAAAAAAGCTGCAGAGTAATTTCTCTCATGAACACAGACACACAAATCCTCACAAGTATAACAACCTGACTCCAGCAAAACAAAGAAAAATATATTAAGCCCAACCAAGAATTATCTAAGAATACAAACTTGAATTAACATATGAAAATCAGTCAGTGAAAATCAGTCACCACAATAACACCATAAAGGAGTAAAACTTCTTCAGTCTGATACAGGGCACAGTATTAGTCAGTTGTCTGTTATAACAAATAGTGGAGATTCTCAACTTATAAAGAGTAGAGAATTATTTGTGCTCATAGTTTTGGAGGTTTCTACCCCTGGTTAATTGGGTTCACTGCTTTGGACCTGTGATAAAATAGTACATCGCAGCAGGAGCACGTGGTTATGAAGAGGTGCTCACTTCACAGCTGGGACCCAAAAGAGGACAGGTTCAGGGATTCCACAGTCCTATTCCAGGGAAAAGACCTCTCACTAGGCCTCTCTTTTTAAATTCCATAGAGCACCACCCTGGGGCCTTTAACGTATGGGGTATTTGGGGACAATCCAAGTCCAAACTAGAAGAGGCACCATCAAAAACAGACTGCTAACAACACACTTACTGGTGAAAGAAGGGTGATGAGGAAGCAGTGGTGGGCAATGGCTGACATTTTAGCAAGAACCAAGAGAGAAGCACCAAATACAAAGACAATGGTCCTATGCTTCTCTACACTCGCACAATGGAAGGTTCACTGACAAAGCCACCAACCTTGTGGACTTTGCTGTATCTTGATTACTTATAATTCTGTAGTAAAGTGTGAATTCCAAGTACTTATACCTCAAGCTGAAAATGATGGTTATGTCCAGAAGAATGCTGTGCATGGTGGGAATCTCAGACAGACCGGCTAAGTTTTCCTTAGAACAAAAGCTTTACCTAGACAAATGACTAAAAACTAATGTTTCTTCAGACTTGCCCATCTGCGGATATTTACTCAAAAATGAATAAAGTGAGGCTATCACTGTACAAAATACAACTGACAGTATTTGCTGTTGATGGCCAGATAAGAACTTCCAAATTATGACTAAACTTGGAGAACTTGAAACTATCACCACAGCTTACCAATACTGAAAACTCTCTAAGGAGAAAGAAAAGTGATGATATTGGCAAACAAGATTTTTAATGTTGTACCATGCAATATGCCAATATTTGGAAAATCTGTGTGAGTCAATGAAGCAATGTTTCCCATAGGACCAACAAATTACACTACAAAATCATCCAAGGGGCAAGACACAGTGGGCTTTCATGGAATGGATTTTAAACAGTTTCTTAAAAAGAGCTCAAACTCTAGCTATACTGCACCAAACTTGCAAGAAACTACCACTTATCCAGTTCCAACAGAGGTCAGAGAACATCCACAGAGACTTGGAAAAGGTACTAAAGTGCTGCTCCCTTTCCTCACTTTATCTGAGTGATGCCAGAATCACTTAATAGCCTTCAACCAAAACAATATATGTGGTGTGGTTCAACAATATTATGAATGCTTAATTTTTAAAATTTAACACAGTAAACTATACATTAACAAAACTCCCTGCTTCAAACTATCTGCCTTGCTTTGAATACACGTAACATTTCTGCCACTTTACAAAACAGAGCTGGAATTCCTCTTTCATGATGTCTTTGGCTGTACTGTCATGGTTGCCTTGATATCTTGAATTGATTCAAAATGTTAAAAAAAAGTTTACTACTCTTGACTTTGGGGAAGAGTCAGAAGTCTCAAGAGTACCAGATCCAGTGAATTGAGGACACACTATAATGCTTTACAAGTTTTCTCTTCCGTTGGAAGAAACTTAGAAACAGCATTCATCGTATTTGTGATCATGTCTCATAAAGACACTCACAAGAAGCTGGCCAGAACTGCCTCAGAAAACAGCAAAACTATGGGATAAGTATGTTCAAAGTAAGGGGAGTATTTTGAGGAGGACTTAATGGCAATGTTTCTTTTACTGTAATGTTTTAACCCACCCTGTATTTTTGATCAGCCCTTGTATCATAACATACTGAATGCAGAAGCAGATATGAGAATCTAGCTGTCTCCTAAAAATTAAAAAGATTTGGAAAAAATTAAACTGCTAACACTTCTCTCGTTAATTGCTTTTCACAAAAAATACAGCTACTTTTCATTTTAAAATATTATTATGAAAAAATCAAATAGGTTTATATTTTAAGTGAATTAAGTATTTTAAAATTTCTCAATGTTAAATTATAACGTAGGAAACAACAATACACTTTGCCTTCTATATCTTCATAACAAAGGATTCAAGCCATGGGTTGAAAATATTGGGGAAAAACTTATGTCTGCACTTAACATGCTGAGATTCTCTTCTGAATATCACTTCCTAAATAATAGATACTACTTACATTATTGTAAGTGTTATAAGACATCGCCAGATAATTTAGGAAAGATGCACACAGGCTATATACAAATACTGTGCCACTCTGAATGAGGGATTTGAGCATCCTTGGGTTTTGGTATCCAAGAAAAGTCCTAGAACTAAGCACCCCAAGGAAACTAAGATAGATAGATGACAGATAGATGGATAGATAGATAGTTCACATAAGCTCTTTCAGATTCCCAGTGGGTTTTAAGAGTACCATAAAGCTCTGAGACCAAAGAATTTTAGGACCAGTAATTTGGAAGAAGTTCACCAGCAATCTATAGACTGACCTGTGCAACCAAAGGCCTCTTAGGGACCCAATGCCCCAAATGTACCATGAAGAAACCAGAGGAATACATTGGCATCCTCCACCTGAGGAGGGTCATGAAGACACTGGTCTACTGGCACAGGAAGATGCCCACTTTTAAAATACCTTTTACCACCTCCCACCTCTATCATCCTGCCTACACAAGTTTTACCACAAAAATTTGATTATATCTTTTTAAGAAACTTTCCTATAAAGCTCCAGCAGGAAACATCACTAGGTCAGCTTAAAGTAGGGGGAAAGAAAAAGAATCCTATGGCAAAGCAAGTCAGTATAGGAATACAATTCCATATGAAAACATTTAAAATACATTAGATTTTTGGTCAAGATGAAAGACAGAAAAAAAGTCAAGCAATCTATTCTAATTGAGTTCCCATGGTAACTATACAATTGGGTTTTTCAATATAACATCCCAAAGGCCCAATGCACACTTGTAAAATATACTTCCAACAGCCGAATTGTTTTTACATTACAGCACACCCAGGAAGATCAATCACTATACATCCCCATCCTAACTATTAGTGGCAGGAGATATTAATACTATTTGCCACATTAACATAAGTCATGTAAGGAACACTACATATTACAATAATTATATGAAACTAATCATACACTTCAGATCTATCAAACATGTACTGAGTAGTAAACCGATAACGACTGTTGTCACAGAATCATGTTTATGAAATGTAAGAAATCAAGCCCAACTACATACCAAACCATTATGCCTCTCTATTGATTTCAAGGATAAGCAGAATCAATCATTAATAATTACATTATAAGATGACCCTCAAGGTTAATCATATTCTTAGAGTCTCTCACTTTGGAATTAAACAACAAACATAACCATGTTAATAAATAAATAAAAGATAACTAAGAAGAATTCAAGTCCACATTTTAAATGTTAACAGCATGATATACAACACAACACATATCCAAATCCAGGATTCTGGCTTCACCCACCCTAACCATACCACTCAGTTTCCAGCCACACCAACTTCTCTGGGCAAAGGCTGGGTCCCCCAAAGCAGGGTCCCTGGAACATAGTGCTAGTGTATACTATGGGCACAGAGGGCCAAGGGAGGTTTGGCAATGGTAAGATTTGTCAGAAAAAAATTCAGAGTCTGAGTTTTCTCTGCAACATTCCTAAAAATTCCCATGGGTTTGACACAATTTACAGATCTCCAATCTATCAAATAAACTGGTGTATTGGATAATCTCCTCATCAATGACCTAGATTCAGTGCAGGTTGACCTGGCACAGGTATGGGCCAGCAGCCTTCAGGAAGAAACATCTTCCTAGGTCTCTAGACCAAGAGAGATCTGAAGATATACTTAGCAGGGAAGAGGGGTACAAGAACACGAGCTCAACTCAGAGTAGTCAACTGTACATTTCTGAGAATCACAGGTGGGAGTCGAAGAACATGGCCACTCACTATTCCTAGAACAGGCCAGATTAGTCTTGTTGTTCCTGGCTAGATTAGAGTCTACACAGACCAATCTCAAGGAAAAAAAAAAAAAAAAAAAAAACCCAACCACGCTGTTTAGACTGAATCCCTGGTCTGCCCTTGTGCTGAAAAAACTAGTCTCACCCAATATTGGAGCTGATTATCTTCTCTCTGCCTCTGCTTCCCTCTGGGGCCTGGGT